TATATCAACTTGGGTTAGAAAGTGTACCATAAAACAAGATTGCTTCGTCAAAATAGAAATTTACAATATGAAAAACCATAGTTGAATTTTAAAAAAAGGTTGAACAGAAATGCATTTCTTAGAAATGGGTAATTTTAAAATCTTATATTTGGATAATTTTTATGAAAAAATATGAAACTCATTGAATCATTGGAATTGCCATCATAGCTATGTTTTGCAAAGTTGGCTTGTCTTATTCTATTGTACCTGGATTTTAGTTTTTGTCTAGGAAATTGAAGGTGGGCATGTCAAGAAATTCTTGGGGTGAATATTACAAGGATGGTTAAAGCTAGGTTAGATTGAAAGTTAAACTCATTGAATCATTGGAATTGACATCATATCTATGTTCTACTAAGTGGATTTGGCATCACATTACACCTTGAGCTTTGTCTCTCTACATCTCCCTACACACAAAGTTTTCTCTCTCCTAACCATTGTAATTCTCTTGAAGTATATTCTACTGGTTACTTTATTCATCAATAAAGACCTACGGCCGCCANACTCATTGAATCATTGGAATTGCCATCATAGCTATGTTTTGCAAAGTGGATTTGGCATCACATTACACCTTGAGCTTTGTCTCTCTACATCTCCCTACACACAAAGTTTTCTCTCTCCTAACCATTGTAATTCTCTTGAAGTATATTCTACTGGTTACTTTATTCATCAATAAAGACCTACGGCCGCCATTGCCGTTTCACGAGAGTGGAATAGGTCACCCGAACTGAACTACTATATATGTGTGTGTTTGCTCATATTTATTGTTTTGCCATTGATTGTTTTATTCATTGCTCATTAATTACACCTCTTCATATACTTGATTGTTGATCTTGNGCCATTGCCGTTTCACGAGAGTGGAGTAGGTCACCCGAACTGAACTACTATATATCTGTGTGTTTGCTCATATTTATTGTTTTGCCATTGATTGTTTTATTCATTGCTCATTAATTACACCTCTTCATATACTTGATTGTTGATCTTGCACGAGACTAATTTGTACATCATCACTAATTATATTTTGTTTAAAATAAATTATATTTTTATTTTTAATTTTATATCAATAAATGACATAATAGAACATGAATTTTGGCTATAAAATTCAAAATATTTTGATATTCTATTTTGATTGCAGTATTTTTTGTATAAGTATAATATTTTAAACTTGAGGGATGTAAATATTACACGCATACAAATTTTAGGGGTCCAAATATAATTTATTAACTGATATTGACATTGAAGGTAAGAGTGTAAGTGTTTCGCGTGTACAAATTTTTGGGAGTTTATATATAATATTTCAAATATCAGGGGTCNGCAGTATTTTTTGTATAAGTATAATATTTTAAACTTGAGGGATGTAAATATTACACACATACAAATTTTAGGGGTCCAAATATAATTTATTAACTGATATTGACATTGAAGGTAAGAGTCTAAGTATTTCGCGTGTACAAATTTTTGGGAGTTTATATATAATATTTCAAATATCAGGGGTCTAAGAGATTAAATGACAATACTCAGGTAATCTGAGTATAAATCTCCCTTACTGTTTTTGACTCGAGTGGACATAAAGTAGGGAGAATTATACCCAGACTTCCTGAAATTTATCACTTAATCACTCAGATCCCTGATATTTGAAATATTACACATGGACTCCTTGAAGTTTATATACCAGTAACACTTAATCCTTATTGTGAATATATCTGTTAATAAATTATACTTAAACTCTTCTAAGGTTTATAGGTTTATAATACTTAGACCCCTTAAGTTTAAAATATTAGACTTAGACAAAAATACTCTAATCAAAGATAAAATATCAAATATTTTAAATTTTACAACAAATTCATGTTCTATTGTATCATTTATTGCAATAAAATTAAAAATTAAAAATTAATTTTTTCTTAAAAAATCATAATTAATATACAATTATACTATCTATTAGAATAAAACTAAAAAAATCAAATAAGGAGTTTAAGTCATTTATAACAGAACATGAATTTTANTCGCTCGACATAAAGTAGGGAGAATTATACCCAGACTTCCTGAAATTTATCACTTAATCACTCAGATCCCTGATATTTGAAATATTACACATGGACTCCCTGAAGTTTATATACCAGTAACACTTAATCCTTATTGTGAATATATCTGTTAATAAATTATACTTAAACTCTTCTAAGGTTTATAGGTTTATAATACTTAGACCCCTTAAGTTTAAAATATTAGACTTAGACAAAAATACTCTAATCAAAGATAAAATATCAAATATTTTAAATTTTACAACAAATTCATGTTCTATTGTATCATTTATTGCAATAAAATTAAAAATTAAAAATTAATTTTTTCTTAAAAAATCATAATTAATATACAATTATACTATCTATTAGAATAAAACTAAAAAAATCAAATAAGGAGTTTAAGTCATTTATAACAGAACATGAATTTTACATCCAAAATTCATATTCTATTATTTCATTTTTGAAATAAAAAAAAATAAAAGTCTAATTTTTTTAAAAAAATCATAATTAGTATATAATTATACTATCTATTAGAATAAAACTAAAAAATTAAACAATTGGTCAAACTGTAATAGACACAATATCTTTTAACTTTAATTGAGGTAATTTTGTATTTTAATTTAGTCGTTTAAAATACCAAATTAAATTACAATAGACAATATAATTGTATGCTAATTATGATTTTTTTAAAAAAAATTTGAATTTTTATTTTTGATTTTATTTCTACAAATNCACAATATCTTTTAACTTTAATTGAGGTAATTTTGTATTTTAATTTAGTCGTTTAAACTACCAAATTAAATTACAATAGACAATATAATTTGTATGCTAATTATGATTTTTTTAAAAAAAATTTGAATTTTTATTTTTGATTTTATTTCTACAAATGATACAATAGAACATGAATTTTGGTTGTAAAATTTAAAATATTTGATATTTTATTTTTAATTGAAATATTTTTGATCTGAATATAATATTTTAAACTTATGAAATCTAAGTATTATATACTTACAGACTTTAAGAGATTTAAGTATAATTTATTTACTGATATATTTACATTAGAAATTTAAGTGTTATGTGTGTACAAACCTCAGGAGGTCTGTGTATAATATTTCAAATATCAAAAAGTCTGAGTAATTAAATGACAAACTTCAAAGGTCTAAGTATAATTTTTCCTATAGTAAGAACTGAGAAGAACGATTCTCATTTCCAATNGAGATTTAAGTATAATTTATTTACTGATATATTTACATTAGAAATTTAAGTGTTATGTGCGTACAAACCTCAGGAGGTCTGTGTATAATATTTCAAATATCAGAAAGTCTGAGTAATTAAATGACAAACTTCAAGGATCTAAGTATAATTTTTCCTATAGTAAGAACTGAGAAGAACGATTCTCATTTCCAATCCTCACTCTAAATCATCTCCCTCTACATTAGTATTCATTTTAATCACCTCCCAGTGAGAAAATCAATCTTTTTGCAGCAGTATTTGTTTAAATCACCTCCCCTAAGAAATGAAAAATCAATTTATGTGCAGTGGTATTTGTTCACTGTTACTTAATATTATCAGAATCGGATCGGATATCAAATCGATAGAAAAATCANTAATCACCTCCCAGTGAGAAAATCAATCTTTTTGCAACAGTATTTGTTTAAATCACCTCCCCTAAGAAATGAAAAATCAATTTATGTGCACACTGTTACTTAATATTATCAGAATCGGATCGGATATCAAATCGATAGAAAAATCAAGTCAATTGTTTAATGGTTCAATCGTTGGATCAATTGGTCAAATCGACAATAAAATAAAAAATTATAAAACATAAATAATTTATCTTAAAAAAATTTAAAATATTTTCACTCTAATTTATTCGTTCTATTATCCATCAAACATTCTTTGGAGTAAATTACAAAGGGCAAGAGAGNATTATAGAACATAAATAATTTATCTTAAAAAAATTTAAAATATTTTTACTCTAATTTATTCGTTCTATTATCCATCAAACATTCTTTGGAGTAAATTACAAAGNAATATAAAACATAAATAATTTATCTTAAAAAAATTTAAAATATTTTCACTCTAATTTATTCGTTCTATTATCCATCAAACATTCTTTGGAGTAAATTACAAAGGGCAAGAGAGTAAATAAGACAAACAAAATGGAACCCTGGAAACTATTTGAGACTAAAGGCCCGGCAACTGGCATATTCTCATCTGCTGTGTTGTTTGCACTNAGGGCAAGAGAGTAAATAAGACAAACAAAATGGAACCCTGGAAACTATTTGAGACTAAAGGCCCGGCAACTGGCATATTCTCATCTGCTGTGTTGTTTGCACTTTGCAGAGGAGTGAGAAAGAGCGAAGCGAAGAGAAGAGGCGGTCCGGTTCTGAGAGAGAGAGTCTTCCTGTTTAAGAAGCAAGGATAAATCAGTCGCCTGAGCCGTCTCAAGTCAAGAGGAGAATCGCCTAAGCCGTCGCCACTCAAGAGAGGAGATCACCTGAGAGTTCGCCGGAGCCGTCGCCACTCGCCTGAGTTGTCGCCTGGGAGGACCGCTGCCTGGAGGATCGACTGGAATTGAATTATATTAGGGCAAAATTGCGCTAAAAACCATCTGAGTTGTCTCTATATGCTATCACTGCTCCACCAGAAACCATCTCCTCTCACTCTCTTCCCTAGGTTTTAGCAAACTGAGTATTTGTCCAATTAAACCGCTGGTTCACATCAAACCGTTGGTTCATCGGTTTTCATAAAAACCGGCCTGTTTAACAATTCGAAACCGGTTCCCATGCCTATGCGGTCCAATTCAAGAATCGGATCGGCTTAGGCTCCGGTTCACCGTCCGACCGGCAGGTCCGGTCCGGTTCTGCCACTACCGCACTATTAGTTCTGAAATCCCCAAATCCAAAAAACCCTACGTTGTCCCAGTTTTTTCGGATTTCAGAAATGTCTCAGCAGCCGAGTTATATAACCGACGACTGTATCAAAGAATGGAAGAATGGAAACTATAGCTTCAAACTTCCAAACCAAGTCCCAATGCTCCGTTTTCTCTATGAACTTTGTTGGACTATGGTATGTGTTAGATAAAAATATGCATGTCAAACGGGTTTTTGTTAATCTTGGTTTTATCGGGCTTATGACAGATTAAATTGTATATTTAGATTGGTTTGGCTTTATTTGGATTTTCCGTTAAATGGTTTTGGGTTAATTTTTGAGTTTATTAGGATTTGGGATTGGGTTGTATGTGTAATGAAATGGGTTTGGGTTAGTTTTGTGTTTTGTTGGGTTTTTTTGGTTTGATATCTGTTTGTTTTTGTTTATTAGGTCCGTGGAGAATTACCGTTTCAGAAGTGTAAAACGGTTTTGGAGTCAGTGGAGTTTTTGGATGGAGGTTCAGAGGAAGAAATGGGTTCAACTTTCGCGGATATTATTACCCAAATGGCACTAGATGTGAGTATCTCATTGCGTGTCTCTGTGTGTGAAGTTTGAATTATGCTAACCATGTTTTACCGTTCTTTATATATTTTTGTTCTTAGTGCCTTGGCTCTAGTTTAATCTTTGATGGCATATGGGATTGGCTTATGTTTATGTTTTATGCTTCTTTGTTCTTTTGCTGCAATCCAATTGATGGAGGCATGGAGGAGCTTCATGCCTTTATTACTGGGAATATCCTAGATTGGACTTTGGAGACTTAAGAACAAACTCTAACCATCAAGACTAACTGTGTACTGATAATGCACTACTAAGAAGGCCTTCTTTGATGCCTTACTATCACACCTAGTTAAGCTCTAACCACCACAGCTAATGGTGTGTTGATGATGCACTGCAAAGGTGTGTATAATATTGGGAAGACCTTTGTTGATGCCTTAATATCACACCTAGTGAAGCACTAGTTATCTAGCCACCCTGTTACCTGAGGAGGTTTTGCGTTCTCTTTAATCTTAGTTGTATATTCTTCCGTTGAACTCTTACAAGTTAAATCGTATTCCTGCCTATATTACTGAACTGGTACTAAACAAATGCACACTCAAGAACATCTTGACAGCTCAATTTTTGACAACATTAAAGGCAATCGACCGATATCTTTACAAACTTTCAACTGTCTAAATCGAACAGTAATCACTGTGATTATCTTCTGGCGTCAAGATGAATGTAAAACTAATAGAATTGGCCCGCTTAATCTATTATAAATAAGGACTGGAATCTTATGATAATTGAAATTCATTATGCACTATATTGGGTAGAATTAGATTTTCTATCCAGGGTAACGATAGGAATCTATAAACTTCTGAAAACAAGTAATTTACCGCAAAATAGATACACTTAGATTAACCAAAACAGTCCTAATGAAGGTAAAAGATAACAAAGTCCATGTTTGAATACTAAATCCCACGATTCAAGTTTGCTATGTACTATGGGTTTAAACCTACTTTGGTATCTGTTCAATATTTCCTTTCTAAAGCAAACTTCTAATTTGTGCCCGGAATAGACATTTTAATTGTTCTTGGTTAGAAATGATGTAACACTGCTTTTTGATACCAAAACTCTGGTGAATATTGTCGTTTACTTATATTTGTGCATTCATCTATTTTGCAGCATACGATTGTCGGAGATTATCGCACTCGTCTCATTAAATTGGTGNGTTAGAAATGATGTAACACTGCTTTTTGATACCAAAACTCTGGTGAATATTGTCGTTTACTTATATTTGTGCATTCATCTATTTTGCAGCATACGATTGTCGGAGATTATCGCACTCGTCTCATTAAATTGGTGAGTATTCAGTCAAAATAAACAATTCTTCTTTTGAAGCAATGTCATATATATATATATATATATATATATGTCAATTTTATTGTGTAATAATTGCATCAGAAATTGTGCGATTGATATCTCTTTTTTGGTACAAGTCCACTTTTGGTCTTATGACCTGTTGATGGGTTTCCAATTCTATATGCTTCACATTCAAGGTTTGTCTGGGGTTTTGCTGAAATAGGTGAAAATGATCTTCTGTTAGAATAGTCTTCGTCTTTTTGCACAAATAGACACTTTAGTCAAAGGAGTTACTGGTAATCGGTTGGTAGTTTGACTAAATGGTGACAACAAAAGTAATTTTATGTCATTTAGGAATTCCCTTGTCATAATGTTTACTACATCTTTGCTCTCGGAAATCGTTCTTTAGCTTTATAAACATGGAGATGGTTGTGTCTAATGTGTCACTCTCTCTGGCTTGACAGAATGTTACCTGTTATTTTTCTCAATTAACTCTATTTTATTTGGATCAGTAAACGAAGTACTTAGTGTTTTTGGTTCCTGTACATTATGTTGTTCTTTCATTGCAATTCTTGCGGCTACATATATGTTCCTCTTGCTTCCCACTCAGTCGAATTTAAGAAACGAAATGTAGGTTCCATTCCCTTGACCGTACAGAACCTCCCTAGACCTTGTAGTGGTGGGAGCCTAGTGCACTCAACCTCCTTTTCTTTTGAATTTTTTATTTGTGGGTCGCACTTTTTATAAGAAGGGTGACCCAATGATCGAAATTTCATTATGGTCTATTATATAAGTCAGCTCGGACAAAAGAGTTAGAGGAATAGAATGAAAATAAAGAAATAATTTGAATGTATTTCCAAAATATTTGTTGATACATATTGAAACATTTTGAAACATAGGAATTGCATTGGAGTACCGAAGGTAATGAAGAGGAAGCTATAGCTCCTTTTTAGCCAAATACCTTTTGATCTTACCATGAATTATTTGGTGTTTCAAAAAGGTCTCTGAACTCTACTCATTTTATGTTGTTATTTATTTATATCTTCTTTTGATGATAACCCCGTTTGTACTTTTATCTGTTGGTTATTTTACTGTTTATGGTTTCTTCTCTGTCTTTCTGTATGTGCGTCTCTCCCCCCCTCCGTATGTATGTATATTTATATGCATTTATATTTATATTTTGCTTTTGTCTTGATCATTTCTGCTTTTGTCTTTGTTGTAGGCAAAATGGCTGGTGGAATCTACCTTGGTTCCACTCAGGCTTTTTCAAGAGCGCTGTGAGGTGAGTTTTATTTGCTGTCTAAAATATAAACTTTTATTTCATCTATCCTGGAAAAGGGGAAAAAAATTTATATCTCTTCTTCATACTTTGCAGGAAGAATTCTTGTGGGAGTCAGAGATGATCAAGATAAAGGCCGCAGATTTGAAGTCAAAAGAGGTATGCTGTTCATAGTCCTAGAGTTACACACTTGATTATTGTGGCATGAGTCAGATTATAGGCTGACACAAATCGATGCTTTTGGTATTGTTTGTTTCCTTTTCATCAGTTGATGCATTTTGTACGCATGTTAATGATTTCTTACATGGATAGTAAGCCATTGAGTTGCAAAGGAGGAGTCTTTCACTGAAGGTACAGGGACTCTTTTACTGACCTACAGGAATTCCGTTTGCTGAATTGGCAAGTCAAAGAGTCCCATATCTTGATATCTGTCTCTAAGATAATGAGATGTATAGAACATGCTCAACTTGGTCCTTGTTACTCCTTTGTGTTGATGCTTCATTGCTGTTGATTTCAGGTCAGAGTAAACACTCGCCTTCTTTATCAACAAACCAAATTTAATCTTCTTCGGGAAGAGAGTGAGGGCTATGCCAAGCTGGTAGGATTATGTTTTAAATTAGTTTTCTTTTCTTGCTTGTTAGAATTTGTTTTATGTGTGGCAGGGTATGATCACATTCCTCTTGCAAGGGGATTACATAATGGGCTTAGTTTTTTCTTTTCACCCAACGAAATAGAGGTGTTTTTAACTCTTAAGGAAGAAGATGATCTCTCTGCACTTTATTCTTATCTTTATTTTACTAATATCTGAATCATTATTAGAAAATCCTATACAGTGTGATGGAAGGTCCCCCCCCTTCCTTTTTACCCCCAAAAAAACTGCAAAAAGTAGGCTGCTACATGATGTTTTCATAGAGAAACTGATATTATTCAGCTTTGGATTTTTGCTGATAAATAAAAAATTCGGCTTTGGATATTTCAATTTGCGCTTTATCAGTTTTGGCATGAAAGCTATCCTGCATGAGGAGGATTCAATTACTTTGTGCACATGCTATATCAGTTCTTTACAAGTTAGAATACAACAAACGCACTAATTGCCTTTTTTGTGTGAAGAAAACTTTGTACTTTGATTTCTTAGTGGACTTTCTGCTCGTTCAATGTACTGGGGTGTAGATTTCAAAGCATAATCGTGGGGGCTGTTGATGCTTACTCTGTGTTTTGTGTCAAGGGGTGTTAGTTGTCCTCTATTAACCCCTTTTTGTACACTATTGATGGTATTCTCTGTCTACTGTGGTTCAAATGTATCGTTTTTAATCTCTGTACTGGTTTGTCCAAATGACTTGCATTAACCATATTTTGTATAATTAAGCAAATGGTGAGTCTCTGTTACATTAGAAATAATCGGACTTCATTGAAAGCAGAAATTGAAATGAGGGGTATGTGAAATAAACAACTTGGATAGTTGCATTACATAGGTTTTCAAAAGATCCAATATGTACAAAATGGTGATTTGCCATACTTCTTTAGTCGATGGAGTTGACCTTGGGATCTTTTATTGATGGATGCTGGTTGCTTATGTGTCCTTTAATTATGTGCCAGTGCTATGTGGTAGGGGCTTTTCCCTATTAAAAAAGAAAAGGCTTAATACCGAATGTCATTCTTTGAGAATCACTTTGCTTTCATAATAAATTTTTGGTGTACAGGATGTGTGTAGTTGTTATGCAGTCTCTTTTGGGCACTCTACAGGGAATCTCATCTATCAAAATTTGAAATAAAAAACTTGTGAAAGTGAGGAGTTTAGACCCTCAATTCCAATCTTGCTGCACCGCTAATATTTGTGCTAATTAAGAAACATTAATAGGAAACATGACCAACCTTTGAGTTAAGTGACTAGGTGTCTCAGATTCTTGTACTGCTGTGGATATCTAGGTTACCGTCCTCTGTCGGGGTTCCGAAGCTTCTGCCAAGAATGCATCGGCAGCTACAGTCGGCATAATTAAGGTTGTAATTTGAACTTCTTCCTATTCAAATACAGGTCCGTCTTTTTTATGTACAATTTCTAACTTTTATATAAAGTGCAGTCTTTAATTGGACATTTTGATCTGGATCCAAACCGTGTTTTTGATATTGTAAGTAGTCCTTATCTTTTATACTGATTAACGTGCCCTTTTTTGGGTCAAGAATTTTTAGAGTGGTTGATTCGGTGTTTATTGGTAGTTACTGATAAGCGTATCATTGTTCAGGTTCTGGAGTGTTTTGAACTTCAGCCTGGTAACGATGTCTTTTTGGACCTGATTCCCATTTTCCCCAAGGTGCAGGAATATGTATAGTATTTATTAACATTGTCCATGGTCCTGGTTGACTGTTGTGTGTTTTAGATGTTTATACTTAATGAAGGCCCCCCTTAACTAAATTTTCTATATTGTTCAAATTTTGCAGTCTCATGCTTCACAAATTCTTGCATTCAAGTTTCAATATTATCAACGCATGGAAGTCAGTCGTCCAGTACCTTTTGGGCTCTATCAGCTTACTGCTTTACTGGTGAAGAAAGACTTCATTGATCTTGATAGCATGTTAGTCTTTTGTCTCTCTCTCTCTCTCTCATGGTGTNGAAAGACTTCATTGATCTTGATAGCATGTTAGTCTTTTGTCTCTCTCTCTCTCTCTCTCATGGTGCGGTTCTTTCAAGGTGTATTATGTTGTTGCAGTTTTAAGTGACCAATTATCTGGATTACATTCAAACATGGGTTTCTTTCTAGGAAAAGAAGTTCTGGCCTGGGATAGGATAGTCCTTTCCTGTCTCTGCCCTAGAAGAGTATTCTCCTGCCCCATCCCGACATGCCCAAGACAGGCTATACCTTCCCCAATACGCGTAGACATTTGCAAACCTGTTTCCAGCACGGCTAGTATTTTGCTTTACACAATCAAACCCTGGCAGATCTGAGGACTAGATATTAAACCTTCTGGTGCTGAGGCATGCAAGGATCAATGGATGTGTGGCTTTGCATGACATTGAAATTTAAATCTCAATGAAATATAGAACATTAACATTTTCAATACTAGTTATTTATATCTATATGTATGTATGTATCAGTAAATAGGATGTATATAGCCTGTACTTCTCTAGAAGGAAAATCATCAGTACATGATAAGATAGGTACTATAGAGTCATTTTTCCTGATGAACATTTCAACCAGTTCTTTCCTGTATAAAGTTTGACGAATTGGTAGCCCACGGTTTATATGGAAAATATGACCCAGAGCACAATGAAGAACTAGGGTTCATGTTGCTGACCCAGGTGGTTGGGTAAAAGGCTTTTTTGAGTTAAGGTAATCTTTAAGGATTTCATTTGCCCACCTCAAGAGGTCATATCTTTTGATGAGATTGATAGAACAATGCCAACTGCTAAGGTACATGTCCACAGAGAGGGAGAGACCTTAAGATTCAAATGAAGACAGGCATTTAGTCTAACGTCTTATTTTGGTTGGAGGAAAGAGTGAGAAGAAAGAATGGGAATGGAGTATAAAAAAGACAAGAAGGTAAGAAATGAAAAGAAAAAAAAGGGGGGAGGTTAATTCTATTTGCCCAGAAGTGTGCTGAAAATGAGAGGAACCCCCCCCCCCCCAAAACCCAAAAAAAGGGGGGAAGCTCATTGCATCCATCCACCCGTTCCATTATTCACAAGTTCTCGTGTTTCCCACGAAATGGACTAATCGCGTGGCTGTATCTGCATTGAAGATGAGAAAGGCTGGTGCTTGTGACTCTGACAGTTGGCAAAGGCACGGTGGTCATATGAACTCCTGACCATGGCTAAGGATCGAAATATCGTTTCGGTCACCTAGGAAATGGAAACGTTTCGACCTGTTTCAGAATTATAATGAAAAAAACAAAAAATTTAAGAATTATTTTTCTAAAACATTGATAGAAATATATCAAAATATCTTAAAATACCTTGAAACATTCTAAAACAATTGGGCAGATGTATTGAAATATTATAATACATTTAAAAACATTATGGAATACCTCGAAATATTAGAATTTTGATTCCAACACTGTTTTGTTTCGATCTCCTTGGAAACGGAAACGTTTTGAAACTATATTTTGATCCTTGACCATGACAAACCTTAATTCTATTTAAATATGTGAAGGAGGGCCTTGTAAAGTCAAAAATAGATTATGTTATTTAGCAAATTATTACTAATGGCCTTTACTTTTTTCTTTATTTTTTTCCAGAAGGAAAAAAAAAGGGGGGGGGGTGGTGGCTGTTCTCCTTTAAATTTGACTCTCCCCTGGACATGGGTGAGAGACTCTTGTACTTCTCCTCAAACTCGCCAACAATAACATGTTGACTCCCTCCCTAAACCTCCCCTTGATTATTTGTCCCTCGAAAATTGACTAGCAGTGGGTTTCGCAAGAGTTTTAGTGTATTGTAATCTGTAATCGTGGTGCTTTTATTTTTTAACAGGCTGCTTCTTCTGGGATTGACATCCAAAAGTTGTAACATGCAGTTGAAGAATAACTTATGGATCACTTTATCACTCTTGTGCTATGTTTATTCCTAAATATATTAGTTTCTTAGGTGAATTTGTTGTGTGTTGGTGAACCTTGAGTTTGGTTTATATGGTTCCGATATTCGAATGATGCTAAGTGATGGTGATACATTGTCAATACAATGGACTACTCATTTACATTGGTTGTGTATCTTGGAAGACAGGATATAGCAGTCCATTAGTTTGCATGTGCTAGACTTACCATTGTTCTTCTTGGGCGTCTTGCAAGGATCAAAATTTCGTTTCGAAGTACCGTTTCGGTCAACTCAAAAATAGAAACGTTTCGGAAACATTTCGGAAACGCAGAAAAAATATGGAAACGCATAGAAACACAAATGCAATCCATTAATTTATAAAGATATGCTAAATAATTTATTAATTCAACATATTTATTAGGTTAACATCAAAACAGTACCGTTTCGACNTAGCAGTCCATTAGTTTGCATGTGCTAGACTTACCATTGTTCTTCTTGGGCGTCTTGTCTGCTGGAGTTGATNTTCAACTACTGTTTCGTTTCGGAGTGTTGAAATTCCGAAACGTTTCGGACGTTTCGGACGTGTCGACACGACATTTTGATCCTTGCCGTCTTGTCTGCTGGAGTTGAGNGCTAGACTTACCATTGTTCTTCTTGGGCGTCTTGTCTGCTGGAGTTGATCAATTTTATTCAGTGGGGATGAACAAAAAAAACACTATAAAAGTACTATTCAAATTCACGGGCTGAGCTAAGAATTCCTAGATGAAGAATGGGGAGGGATAACTGAAGTACTAAATCAGGTTCAGATATGCAAATCTATGATATCTGGGATGGAAATTGGAATTGGAGAGTGCAAATCTTATTCTCGTGTTTGGGGTTGGAATTTCTCCCTTAGTATGAAAATTTTACTTTGCTTTTATGATGGATAAAATGGTGTGATTTAATGATTCAAATGCTTATTTGTGAATTTCTTGTGGCGTCAGAGGTCTGAGATTGTTTTTAGGATTAATTACAGCCAGTTGCTTCCCCCGAAACTACTGGTTGTATCACTCAACCATTTTGTTGTATTATACTTGACAGGTTGACCCCTTAAAGTATGCAGTTGTGAATGTGCTGTTTGGAAAATGATGTCAAAGTTGACCCGTTGAATTATATGATCAAAAGGACATTCCTTGTGTATATTACTCACCACTTGTTTTCTTGTTTTTCTCTCTCAAACAGACAAGCACTTACAGACGAATAAATTACTCAACAACTCTTCAACTCTTAGTTCTTCTTCTTTTCTCACATACAAGAAATAGAAATATATAAAACACAATAAATAGAAATATATAAAAGACAAGAAATAGAAATATATAAAAGACAATGATACCTGAGAGGCAGGTAGAGAGCTCATTGTCCCTCAACAGCTTTGCTGATGAATTCAAGTTACCCAGCAATCCATCCATCATTAATTAGCAAATTCCCAATTAATGCATCCATTACCTAGTAATCCGTTAATTACCCAGTCAATTAAACCTAGTTGTTGGTGACACTACAGTGTGGGTGGTGGTGTGGCATGTTAGTTGTCAACTTAGTTGTGTTTTGTGTGTGCGTACACATGCGTGCATCTGTGTTCTTGTGTGTGTGTTTTTAGGGGATGTATGTCTTCATGTGTTTCTGTGTGTCCCTATGTTCTTGTGTGCATGTGTGAGATGATGGATAGAGCTGAGAAGGAGATGAGAGAGTTGAGACTCTTATGTGTAGGTCCTTCTTCTTTCCCAATTGTTTCCTCTCTCTCTTGGTGTTCTTGGATACTTTAATGAAAGGCACGTAGGAGTTTGTCACTAGGTTTTTGGCCAAATAGGATTTTCCGGTTCCTATAGAGCCTATCACTAAAGGACCCCCTAAGAGGGGGATGAAGCTAAGTGGAGCGAAAAGGATTGTCCATTGAGATGGGAAATGAAAGCTATTAACCTCATATGAGGTTTGTGAATAAGTGATTTTTTGATAATGAGCAATTAATATTCACCATTTTGCTAAACAAGATGTAATGAACTCATAATTCAGTAGATACTTTGTAGGAATGCCAGCTAAGTATCGTAAATAAATTGCTCTCGATTGTTCAATCATTTGATAACCGGAGTCCTTCTTTGATCAATGATCCCTAGTGTCTGACTAAATAGAACTTGATCAATAATTTTTTCTGTTATTAAGGTGGAGAACAAAACCAAAAATTTTCTTTCTTCATCCTTAATCAAATCACTTTCTGTGACCCAGGACCCTATTTTATCTTTAATCCAATATCCTTTCCTCATCACCATCCAAATCCAAGATGACCACTCCCCTAATGTTGTGGAGATAGAAAGAAAAGCTTCCAAAGAACCAGAGAAAGAATCATTTTGATTTTTAGAATTCTTTGAAGTATAGAGAACAACAAAGAGATACGATGTAAGAGAGGGAGAGAGAGAAATGAAAGGAGAGACCATGTATGCTCTTAATGTGATGCATCATAAGAAATCAAGATCCAATCGAAAAAGAAAGCGGTGGCATCTTTTCCAATTTCAATCCTATGACTCTCTTCCCTCCAATTAATCAAAACATTCCCAACAATCCCAAAATTTTCTCGGCTCTCTTCACTAGTACCCAATTCTCACTATGTAAATCAAACCATTTTTCACCTTTTCTCATTTTATCTTATTTGCTGGTTCTTTTCCAAATAAGCTTTTTTCGTCAACCCAAGTGTCTAGATCACCATTGCCGATGTTTTGGTCTATTGGGTCTAGACCAAAATTAGAAAAAAAGGGTTGTGATCACCAAACCACCATCACTAGTACCACTAATCATTCCAAAATAGCTGGAATGTCTCGGCCATCGCGAATCACCAAACCACCACAACCATTGCCCCATTGAAACCAACACTAGCACGACCACAAGTGTCACCATCCTCAGACAAATACTGCCAAAATTAATCAAAACCCATGACTTTCTAGTCAATCAACCTCTGTAATACATATTACATCTAAATCTAATATTACAAAGTTGAATCTTCAACTTATAAAAGCATAACCACGGTTAAGATTGATCAAGTTTTCATTTACTTTGATTGAATGGTACAAAATTCATTTCAATTTTTTTCCCCATCATCTTCTCTACACGCCCCAATGTCAAATAACTCAATCAACACATCAACACACTCTCCAATGGTTAACAATCTCATCAATCCACACCTAAACTCTCTTTTCTCTTTCTTCATTTTAATTTTCAATTTCGTAATTATAAAAGAATAAATTGCTGTTTAATATATAAATATTGTATAATCAATGTTCGATTTTTGAATTGTATAGTGTCTTCATGCACGAGTCAACCAAAATTAATTTAAATCCACAAATATATTTTTTTTTTGGGGGGGGATGTGAGAGAGAGAACCTTTGCAAGACAGAGAAACAATTGGTCACATAGGTGGGCCAGTTGCGAGTAGACGCAACATGGAGAGGTGGAGGGAGGTATGAGGTAAGAGGGAGGACACGGAGGAGTGGAGGAAAGAGCTGCAGGGGTTGCAACAGAGAGCAGTGGAGATTACAGAGAGTTTTGGTGTTTTCCCTTATGTGCTAGTTACATGTGAATATCCATTTTTGTCAATTTTTTTTTGCATCAAATTGCCCCTCTAATACACGCACTTGATGGGCATGTACATCAGGTTTGTAATTTTTTGCTGCTGTCTGGCTGAGGGGCTGCATAATTCAGTACCTCCAAGATCAAAATGAAGCAGCTGATGTATTGGGGTCCAAAATGACACAGAGGGCATATGAGGACCTTCAGTCTAGTTAATTCTTGGTTATAATTTCCTATATTAGCTGTGGGGTTTTTATAAATTTGCTACTGAATAAGCGCCATCTGTGTAATTCAGATTGCGTTTTTTAGGGGTTATTTATTATTTTTTGTCTGGGGGTTAAGTGATACTGCCCCATAGATGCGGGCTCTCTGTGATTAACCCTTGGTTTTATGAGGGTGCTTTTTGGGTCAAAATATGAGGGGGATTACAAAATTCGATAACTAAGAAATTGAGTGAAGGAATGAAGAACTCTATTGCCAACTAACCATGGTGCTACTGGTCTTGCTAAGACTGTCACCTATAACCATTGCAATATCTGTACTCGACACTAATTTACTGCTACAATCACTACATGCCACCCACCACGCATCACCCAGCTTCATTCACCTGCATCCATGCTATTGCCCTTCCTACTATATTTTAATATCAGAGACTTTCATCACCACCAGTATTGGAACCAGTTCTGCTCTCCTCACCTGCCAATCCCACTGCCTGCACCATGACTATCTGTCAACCATTGCTAAGCAAATGCTGCTTAAATGATATTTTAACTTGGTCAACCTTCCAGCCACAGACAATGCCCAGGTGACACATACATTTCGGCCTGCATACCAATGCCTCCATCCTCGTGCCATTGTGATAGAGAGACCTAAATTTTTTAACAGCTCTTTTGGCGATTAGAATTGAAGTTGTATTCCTTTCCATTAAGAATAGGGGACCGTGTATGTATTTGGATCAAAATGCCATCGTTAGGATTTTATTTCCCATAAGTCAAACTTTTAATAACTTTTGGACTGCACTCCTTGGTCAGAATTGTTGTCTACTTTTCTCGTTTAAAAATCCCTTGAAAGAGTTGACCATTAGCATATATGGGGAGCGCATTTACTTTCTTGTCCTTTTCTTCTATTATTTTTTTCTTTATTTTTTGAGAGGAGGGGAGATATATGGTGGGCAGGGTGGATGGAGGAAAATAAGGTTCTTTTGATGGAAATTCTTGAAGCAATGTTTGAACATCCACACCGGTGTGCTTATGTTTCAACATATGATGCATTGAATGTTAGAGAAACAACGTGTGTAACTTTTAGTATTTCAAAATCGGTGCTTCTGTACTTCATTTTTGTTTTTCATTTGAAGAAAGAGGGGGGAAGGGGAGGCGAAGGGTAGCTACGCCAACTACTTGCTTGTTGACCGGAAGTTTTAGATATTTTGCTTCATGTTTTACCTGCTGAATTTTCTGTTGCTCTGTTTTTTTTTCCATATCCTTTTTGTCGTTGAGCTTTTTCTGATGACTTTCTCTCTTGGACCTACTTTTTCTACTGCTTTTTTAATCAAAATTCTCACATCTGTTGCAGATATGCGCACTTACTTCCCAAGGATGAGGAGGCATTTGAGCATTACAATGCTTTTTCTGCTAAGCGACTTGATGAGGTACATTAACTTTTATAGTGTGTGGAATGATTTCCCGATTCTTTTGTCCAATTTGCTTAGAGCTTTCTCCATCCTCATCATTAGTTCATTTTCTTTCTCATGTAAGCTCAAACACATTGATGTATAGATCATATTTCACGCTAAAAGGTTCAATTAGTGTTTTTTTTGATTGTGCATGTTATTAGTGGTACATAAAATTCTTGTTTTTCTGCATATGTCCACAGGTTTTCTAAGGGTTCAAAGTTTTTAGGGTATTCTAATACATGCATATTCATTTTGGTATTGATATTTCCAATTTCTACAGGCAAACAAAATTGGCAAAATAAATCTTGCTGCTACTGGAAAGGATCTTATGGATGATGAGAAACAAGGGGATGTGACAATAGATCTTTTTGCGGCTGTAGACTTGGAAACTGATGCGGCTGCTGAACGATCTTCAGAGCTTGAAAATAACCAAACCCTGGGTTTGCTCACTGGTTTTCTGTTGGTGGATGACTGGTAAGTTGACTTCTGAAATTCTGTTGTTCTGGTATCTTTAGAGATGTTTTAGTTTTCCATTTTTAAGAGGAACTAGATATTAGAATGTAGCACAATATCTCCATTTTCAAATTGCAATAGACAATGGGGAGAACACCACTAGAGTAACTGTTCAATGTATTGCCCAAATTTGCTGTTTCCTGGACGTGCATTGAACCATACCCTGAAAATCCTAGATGCACAAGTGTCTTATTTTGGACAACCTTTGGAATATTCAAAACACCAAGTCAGTTCTAGGCTAATTCTCTGCAGCAAAAGATGTGGGTTTCTCAATTTAGTGTCATGTGGCTTCAAAGTAAAAAATATATCTTTTGCTTTTTCCTTTTCCTGGTCATTCGTTTGTTTGTTCTTAAAAAAAAGTGGGTATAAAAAAAAAGGGAAAAAGGGGGGGGGGGCTTGTGTGCACACCCACGTTTAGGAATATCTAATACGAATAAAGATATAAAAATTCTAATTTATCTCTTCTAATTAGATTTCTATGCTTTTTATGTGTTGCATTGATTTCTTGATATAAGTTTTAGTTTCTCTGTGATTCCTCTGATGTTCTTTTAATACATTTTCGTCTTAATGTCACAATACAAGTTACTGGTTCCTTGATGGTGATGGGAACTGTGTATTTTGAGCATTCTCTTGTTCATTTTTTCTTGTGTCATCTCTCCTACAAGCCTTTGGACAAATGAGCCTGCAGATGGCTTTTCAATTGTATTTTTTTCGATGAAAAATTGTGAAATTGCCATTATTTTCTTTTGTTTTGCATTGTTAATTATATCTATACTATACATGTCTATTTTAAATATACGTGTGTGGATAAGTAGGAATGACATGATATCAAAAGGCCCAACAGTGTAAAATAGTTACATAATAAAGATCAGATAACTGGACCACATTTTTGTGTTCTGTTTGTAATAAATAATTTGATGTTCTATGATGCTGCACTGCATGTAGTACTGCAAGAAGCTGGCTTTGTACTTGTTTCACAGGACATAAACAAAAATTGAGCATGTCTTGTGTAAAGCTTCAGCTTTTTTTTTTGCCTTTACCTTTTGTGTTAAGTCATTATCCAACTTTTTATTACATCCCACCAGTGTTTGATACATGCGACTTTTTGTTTGGTAGGCATCATGCCCGCGTACTATTTGATCGCCTCTCATCACTTAATCCGGTGGAGCATATTCAGATATGCAACGGATTGTTCAGGTAAATCTCCAGGATACAAGTCCATGCAGGGATTCTTCTAGCTTTTTGCTGTCATTAAGTTCTGGTTTCTAGCGTTGTTAATTTTCATGTTAAAACTTTACCTGTCTTTCCTTTTCGATAACCTTGTCTTTTGTACATCCAGGCTTATTGAAAAAATAATCTCTTCAGCATATGATGTAGTTCGTGAAACACATCTTCAAAGCTTCGGTTTGCCTTCAGGGGCTGGCTCTGATTCCATGGAGACAACAAATTCATTTATCAATAAATCTTCCATTGACCTCCCCAAGGAGCTCTTTGAGATGCTTACCTGTGCTGGATCTTATCTATATCGTGATTCTCTGTTGTTGCAGAAGGTGCATTTTTCTGGTCTCTGGCAGTTTTTTGCATGCATTGTTTTTTTTGAATTTTGTTTGTCTTTTTGCTCACAGAAATTGGCTTAATGAGGTTTCTGAATTGCCAGGTGTGCAGAGTATTAAGAGGCTATTACCTATCTGCACTAGAGCTTGTCAGTACTGGTGGTGCTTCTAATTCTGAAACTGGTAGTGGTGGAAATCGTAATTTTTACCTGAAGCAAGCTAGGTCAAGGATTGAAGAAGCTTTGGGAACATGTATACTTCCTTCGTTACAGTTGATACCAGCGAATCCGGCAGTTGGACAGGAGATCTGGGAAGTAATGAATCTCCTACCATATGAGGTTGGCTTTACATAAGAGACGTTGATATTTCCATTGGAAAATTCATTATGTACACTTGGGAAATGGCTAGGTAAATCTCGTTTGCTTAGGTACGGTACCGTTTGTATGGTGAATGGGAAAAAGATGACGAGCGCCTTCCAATGGTTTTGTCTGCCAGGCAAACAGCAAAGGTATAAATACGTTTTGTTGCAATGTCTTTTCTCTTCACTTTTCCACATTGGGACATTGTGTGCCTATCTCCTAGAATTTACTAATCTCACGATGTTCTGCAGTTGGACACTAGAAGGATTCTGAAACGGCTCGCAAAAGAAAATCTAAAGCAGCTTGGGCGAATGGTTGCAAAACTAGCTCATGCCAATCCAATGACTGTGCTTCGAACAATTGTTCATCAGGTACGGTGTTTATGAAGGGGTGTAAAATTTAACATCCTGGCAGCTATGAATTTTTCTATTAGAAAACATTATGTTCTGAAACTGCAATGTGCAGATAGAGGCTTATAGGGATATGATTACTCCAGTTGTAGATGCATTCAAGTATTTGACACAGGTGTGGATCATTATTTCCTCGTGTTCCTTTTCATATTCTTTATCACCTTTCTCATTTGTGCACGTGCTTGTGTATATGATTGCTTTTGATTACTATGGCATTCTGAAGGATGGGCAGTGGCCTTTATTCAGTTGTGTATACATTGTAACTTGCAATTCTGTTTTTCTGTGATTTGATGTTCTTTTTTGTAAGCATAACTTATCTCAGCATTGCTCTTTGTTTTTTGGTGTGGGGTTTGGTTAGAGCAGAACAAAAGATATTTAAAAAAAGATGTGGATTGGAAAAGTCAAAAGCTTTAATAAGAGAAAGTGAACATGGTCACGGAAATCAAGCTTGATCTGTGGTGGGCATGCATGGTTGGGCTTTTGAAATAATTGGAAAATTCAGTTGCCAAATAAAGCCAATTGCACTAGGGTCTCGATTACAAGGCGAATGCAGTGAGTATGAATTTACCCGATCAGCTAGAAGGTTCCTGTCACTATTGTCCCAAGGTTCGTCATCAGCTTGGTTTAACAAGAATTCACTTTAGTAAATTTGATATGAAGCTGGTGAAACCTTTCGGGTAAGGCCTTGTTTACTATGTTCGATATTGTTGACTTTTTAGGGAGCTTGGGGTGTCAATTGTATGTAGCTGTCCTTTTTGCACGTGAGATACTTTTTTTCTTCTCATCCAAAAAAAATAAAAAAATAAAAATTGAAAGCATCAACATGTTAACGAAGCATTTGACATGTGACCGGGAGTGTCTCTGGGGTAGTGGTCTCCCACACATGTCCAACATTGGTATGACTACTACTTAGATGTGTTCGTGTTTCTTAGGTTTTGGAAGCTCTTTGATGAAATTTGTTAGGGGAAAAATCATGGGATCATAAAATCAAACTAAGGTAGTTCAGAGGAAGTACGCACATATCAAACGTAGTATTTGAAGCGAGTTTTAAGAGAAATGACCCTCAAACCTGGGAGAAATGTCAACTTTGTGCTTTAAGTGAAGCTTATGTTGATTAACAAACACAACCCTTGGTTGTTAATTGTTGAAGGGCATTGACTATGATTAACTAATGATAATTCAAATTGTTGTTTGTTTGGTGTTCAGCATGTGTCATTCAAGATGTCAACTACCCTTGAATTGTGGGCACAATGTTAGTTGAATTTTTTTAACTGATTGATCATTATTTTAGCAAGTTGGTTTATTAGCATCACATTGTTGGCATGTAAATTACTGCTCTTTAGTACTTGCTGCTGCCTCTGCTTTTGTGGAGAATGAATGAATTGCATTGCATAGTTATGTACTAAACTATACTGCTTTTCTTATTATATATAAAATTTTCATCATACTTTAACATGTTATGAAATTGTTAGATATAATTTTTTTGTGTTCTTACTTCTTTTTACAGCTTGAGTATGATATTTTGGAATATGTTGTGATTGAGCGGCTGGCACAAGGTGGGCGAGAGAAGCTTAAAGATGATGGCCTTAATTTGTCGGATTGGCTCCAATCTTTGGCTTCATTTTGGGGTCACTTGTATGTATTGTTTTCCTCTTTGTATTGCTTTACATTGTTGGTTTTAATTTTCATATCCCCCATGAAATCAAGTGCTAATGTGCTAGGAACTTTCTCTGCTCTGTTTGAGTAAGTGTGATCGGTCCCATGTTCACAATCTGAATATTTTTGCTTTTGTAGGATTTAGATAAATTATGTAAAATTTTTAATCCAAATATAGTTGATTAAGAGGTTTCATTCTTAATTCTACTCCACCTGGTGTTTCCTCTCTGCATTCAGCTGTCTTTGCACTTCTAATTCTTATTCTTGTAACCTTCTCCATTACCCCCACCCAGCAAGGCGCAGCAATTGTTTCTTATTTTATTACCTGCTGTTAATTCGTGTCCGTCAAGCCATCTTGTGGTTTTGCAAGCGCTTATACAGAATCTACTATAAATGCCATGTGCGCTGATTAGTTTCTGTGAAAAACATCGATATTCATGAAATGGTTTACCCAGGTTCTGGGTTGCAGATTAACCTCAGAAGAAGCGGGGTGACTGTAGCTGTGGATGTAGTGGATTTTGCTGATTTTCCCCCCGAGCACCTTGTTTGATTTGGGCTTATCTTCAGCCTTCTTATTTTTGGATTGCCACTTGGGCAGATGTCAGATGGCTCTACGAGATTCAGGGACTTTTTGATGAAAGGTTAGCAGAATGGGGATGCAAGATTTCTATTGGATGGGGAGGAGAAGTGGCCAAGTGAGGAGTACGCCTACTAAACCCTGCTGCCTAATTTGTTTCTCTTTTCCTTTCAAAGTTCAAGATCACTTTTGAAAAGATTTGAATTAGATGGAAGGTTTTCTCTAATCCAAAACCAGGAGGTTTTCTGGGAATTTGGCCTTGGACATCTTTCACTTGGAGGGAAAATGTTGAATTTTGTTTTCAAAGATAAATAATAGCTTTGTGGAGATGAGTAGGTCAAAAACATGTCAACAGTACTGATGAACTACGAAGTACATAGAAAAGCATTCTGGTGTACAGCCTTCAGGTGCTTAAGTGGTTGTGGTAGGCAGGGATTTTATTTCCACTGTATTCATCTGGTGTGAATTTGGTAATGAAGAGGGAGGGTGGGTGAATCCTCAGAGGGCTTGTGTTTTTGAGTGTTGGAGCAGGAAGATGATTGAACAACTATCAGACTGGAATGCTGCAAACCTGGACACGCATCCTCCAATATGTTTTAAATCATTAGGGATTGCTGTCCATAGTCATTTGCTTGATCTTTCATGAAGCTTAGATTTAGTTGAAAGGATGAAGATAAATCTCTTGGGTAGGATATATTTTTTGATATGTTTTCTCTTCTCGAGGCTCCTACCATTTTTGTGCAGCTTAATTTTTCGCTGCATGTGACTGGAACATTGCTGAAAAGTCATCTTTATTGCGAAAAATTGGATGTTGCTATGATGTTTGCGCTAATAATAAGTTCAATGATGAAGGTCTGTGCTTGGATATGAGATGCACTACTAAAAGGAGGTAGTTGATATGGAGCTATATTTTGATAGTTGTAGCTTCATCAGTGTGGCTTTGCTGATGGTTCTGGCTTGTTCCAGATTTCTGGACTCTTCATTGTACAATTCCACGTGTCACTGACTACACTTGCATTTAATTGAAAGGATAGGCTTTTTGTATTCTTCATCCGCCGCAGTATGAGTGGTATAGAGTTCCTGTTGAAGCAAAATTCAGTCTCTAGAGGTGATGCTTGGAAAGTGAGAGACAGTTGCTTTCTGGAGTTTCATCTATCAAAGCTTCCGTGTATGCCAGTGCTGCATGGCTTTGCAGAAGTCCTTCAGCATCTTATTTAAATGGATAATCACTTTTCGGCGATGTAATGGTGCTGATGCTTTTCAGTTCACATTATAAAAGTAGGCATTTTTTTGTTGGAAGAAAGAAAAGAAGTGGTTAATATTAATATTTTTCTGTTTTCTTTTTTTTTTTTTTTGGGGGGGG